TGTGTCACAACAACAAGGCGAGAAATAAAAGAGGAAAGAGCAAGGAAGAGGGCATCCGGAATTAAGCNGCAGAGCCTTTTCTTCCTATACTACTCTCTATGATTTGTAGAAAAAAGAAAGAGTATTTACAGGTAAACTTGATCTGCTATTAATACAATGTCACTTAGCCCGACATTTTCTCTGCATTTTATCAGCAGTTCGATATTTCAGGTGAACTGTCTATTTCAGAGTGGAGCTTTTGGAATGGTTCTGACTTATTTCTGATTTCAACCTCGCAAAATAGACAAATTGCTTTAGCACGGCTTGATAAATAAGAATCGAGAAGTCTTCACTAGTTCCTGGAATCCATATATTTCCCTTTCTTTTCCAAAGATGCACCACTCCACAAGTTCCTTCAACTAATTCAGTTATCCAAAACCAAAGAAAATATTCAAGACAGAGAGCTCTATCGGCAAGTATGTCTTGTCTCTACTCTTCCTTCTTCTTACTGTCTGAAGTGTTTGCCTTTTCAGTTGGTTCTCTGAAGAAAACAGCAGCTATGCCTCTCTCCAAATAGGTAAAAGGATCACTCGTATTGCTTAAGTACATCAAGACCTGAAGAAACGACCCCACACAAGCAATGATTAGTAGAACTTCAGCTGTTGTGAAGTCCACCATACGATTCTGGACCACAATGAAAAGGACACTACCAACAACGGACAGCTTAGTGACGCTGAAATAAAAGAACAAGTACAAAATAAATAATTAAAACAAATACTTGACCAGTTAAGGCAGTGTCCACACAATGCCAGAGAAATTTGAAAATGCAGCTTTATTCTATGGTTTGGAGCTTTTCAAAATGCTTTTCAAACCGGAGGAATTTGAAAAACGCCGGCTTTGCGTTTTCCTGTGGACAGAAAATATTTTAAAAACAGAGGTTTTTTAAGACGATTTAGTCATGATAATAATGTTATTTCCCTGACATTTGATGCGTTTTCAGAGTGAAACCTCTGTTTTCAAATTCCTCCCGCGTAGTAAATGCATGCAAGCAGGCAAATACTTTGAACTTCCAAAAATATTACGACCCCCGAAAGCAGCAACCCTCCAAAAGTAGTGATTTATATAGAGAGCACCCTGTACTTAACTCACACATTATGGATAACAACCAAAAAAATTTATTATAACAATAACATCTTACAATGAAGGATAGAGTGCTTCGTTTATAGTATCCACTTTGCCTTGGACAAACTTAACCACTGGTCTTATAAGTCTGCTGCCTGCTCCTACAGTATGGTAAAAAGCATTAACAAAAAAATTGTCAGTAAAAGTGAATTAAAGGAACATTACCATGAAATGTTGTTGAATTTATTCTCAATACAATGCTGAATTATGACGTAGTATCTTCACTAGTTCATGAAATGCCCCTGGAGCCAATGTAGACCAATTTTAATAACATTTTCAGTACTCATGGTTACCACCAATGGAAAGTCTTTAGATTTTGACTTTTTTAAGTCACGCTCGTAATAATGTACCTTTAATTACTTTATTAGAGCACAACAATTTCAACATTGATGCTCAACTTTGTCTTGACTATCAGGCAAAAACTTTTGTATGAAAACTGCACACTTACTAGATCACTGCCAGTCAAACATTAAGTCAAAACACATCCGTTTTTACAGCCAAATAAGTCTAAATCCAGAACTACATAGAAAACAACCACCAAAGTTTTACAAACAAATACGCAGTTACAGGGTTGCCGCCCACCGGAACAAAAAAAATGCCCGACTTTTCACTGACTGTGAAGCAATTTTCACTGACCTTGCAGGATGATTATTCTGGCCAGTAATCAACAAAAATAAGGATGGCTCAGATAACTTTAAAACAAAATTGCAATGTCTACATGAAAACATCTAATAAAATAATTTGTGGCAACGTTAAGATAAAATTCCCTGACTTTTCACTGACTTTGAACAGGGATTTAGAAATTCCCTGACCTAACACTGTACAAAACTCCCTGACTTTTCACTGACCTTGAATAAAATCTAATTTCCCCTGACTTTTCCCTGACTGTGGCAACCCTGAGTTACAATGACAGTATTAATTTACTCGTCACCTTTTACAGTCCCAATAACTACGATAACAAGCCATGCATCAGAGTAGAGTGGTGCTGCCATTTCCACTCCCTTGAGAATGTTTCTTGCCCGGTGGGCTTCTTTGAGTACCANGTCTGATGAGTGCGTAAGCACGAAACTCGGAGTAACAGCAAATCTTGCCTCTTCGTTATTACTCATAGAAAACAGCCACCAAAGTTTTACAAACAAATATACAGTTACAGGGTTGCCACCCACTGGAACAAAAAAAAAAATGCCCGACTTTTCACTGCCTGTAAAGCAATTTTCACTGACCTTGCAGGATGATTATTCTGGCCAGTAATCAACAAAAATAAGGATGGCTCAGATAACTTTAAAACAAAATTGCAATGTCTACATGAAAACATATAATAAAATAATTTGCCAAAGATAAAATTCCCTGACTTTTCACTGACTTTGAACAGGGATTTAGAAATTCCCTAACCTAACACTGTACAAAACTCCCTGACTTTTCACTGACATTGAATAAAATCTCATTTTCCCTGACTTTTCCCTGACTGTGGCAACCCTGAGTTACAATGACAGTATTAATTCACTCGTCACCTTTTACAGTCCCAATAACTACGATAACAAGCCATGCATCAGAGTAGAGTGGTGCTGCCATTTCCACTCCCTTGAGAATGTTTCTTGCCCGGTGGGCTTCTTTGAGTACCAGAAGAACTACCTGCAAAAAAACAGAAGAATGCTTTAAAATTCATACCAATTATATTTATTTAATAAATATTAATGTTAAAAAAGTGTTTCAATTGTCATGAAAGGTCTTATATTCATGACCATCATCAGCAACTGGCAGTAATTTTACTTTTTTAGGGTAATTTCCTCTCCCTAGCAATTCACAGGCTAACCAGTTAGCCAAAGAAGTGCGTTCCAGTTAGTCTTTAACAGTTAGCTCTAACATCGGCAATAGCAACACGATGTATTCAGCTTTAAAAAACTACCTTTTAAGGGTGGTTTTCACTAGCGCAAAAGCATAATCTTTATTATTACAACTTATGCAACAAACGCAGATGCAGTGGGGTGCAGTTAAGTTGAGCCGTTTGTTGGGAAATTGTCCTGACAAAAGGCCTTATTATCAGCATCTTACTGCACCTGTATATGTAGGCTTATGTTTACACTTACATGTATGCACTAGTGAAAACCAGCCTTTACATGCTACAGCTTCTTGCTACCCCTTTAATCTGTCACATACATCCCATGGATGTTTGAGTGGTATTGTGAGAGATTTTTCAAGTGCAATTTATATTTGATAACTGAACTACACGACTGTACAGTACAAACCAAACATACCCAAAATGGTTTCAGCATAAAGAACTTGGCAAACAAATCCAGAGGGCAAAAGAACACAAGATACCTTCAGAAGAAACAGCACAGTCAGTTAAATTGCAATTACATGATTGAAGTAAAATGTGTCAACTTACTCAGTCTGTCATTCAAGAAATAAAAATACTTTGATAACCATCAATTATTATGATGGTACAGACAAACAGTAATGACAGTGAGCATAATTGACACTACCACCTTTCAAAACCTCTTACAACATATATTACACTTTCCAACTACAGCTAGAAACTGAACATTAGGAGTCACTCTTGCAACTGCTTGGTTTCAATCTGATGTCATCTCAAACTTGCACAATTGTATAGTGTATTTCCTTGTGCCTAACCGCAGGTTCACACAATTATACCTGCCAACCTGGTATTATAATGATACTACAATGTATATAATCTTGAAAATTCCATCTATTCATTCATCTGTAAGTCAGTTATTTAGTCTGGCAACAAACAATCCACATTTTGGGGTACATAAAATTTGAAGAGAGAACAGACTGAGGGAATGCTTCATGTAGCTAATAATTAACTGCAAAAAAACCCTAATTTATATGGAAACTTGCTATGTAGGCTATCTGACTGTCAGTGAGTTCATCTGTCTGTCTGTCTGTCTGTCAGTCAGCCAGGCAGCCAGCCAGTCAGTCAGTCAGTCAGTCAATAATTCAATCCCAATTGCTTAAATTGGAAAATTAACTACGATGATCATTCTTCACTTTCATCTACTACCGCAGTTCATATATGAATTATTTCATATAAACTTCACAATAGGTCAATCTGTTGTTCAAAGACATAATTTAGTTTCAATTGTTATATCTCTTACCAAATGGCGGACAAAATACTAATTTGTTGAGTGTCCAGCAAAGGCAAAATTAGAGAGTTTCCAAGCAAAAAATTAGCCAGTATGGTCCCAGCAAAACAAGTCAGGATACTTGAAACCCAGGAGGACATCGGGTGTGAGTATGCAAAGGACACTGAACCTGTAACAACAAACATTAAGGTCTGATTATTTAAATAATGTATAGACAGCTTTTAAGAAATCCATGGTCTAAACAGGATTTAGACCATAGGCAACTTTGTTTGCACTTCTAAAATGAACAGCAGGTCATCTACACAGAGTCTTAAGTATACCTCAACGGAATCAAGTTGCAAACTCTAGGTCTTACTTAGAAATATCCAGACATGTCTGATCATAGTCTGTCCAGAGAGTGATAGCAAGAGTGATAGTGGAGCCAAGAGCATTCCCCATGGTGGATGCAAAAAATTAAATATCTGCAGACTTCTTCGGGAAAAAGGAAGCTTTTTAGGACTTCCCCTCCTGGATGTCATCACCCTGTCATTATCACCTCTACTCTTGCTCCCTAAATTAAATCAAGTAACATCTGGAAAGATCAAAATACAACTGAAAAAACAACCATACAGTGTATGGTCATGTGTATGGTGTCAAGGAATTATTTCAATACGAAAAAAAAAAAAAAAGAAAAGTAAACAAGAGGGAGAAAATCTGAACCATCTGACTTCTGTCATCTTTGCGCTGTTATTTCCATCAGTTTGGAAATGCACCTTACATTTGGACAGATAATTATTTCATTGGAGGAAAGAAGGGCTTAACTGCAGCATACCCTGAATAATCAAGTAGAGTGTGGAAAACTCTTCATGCAAACTACATTTCAGAAATCAAATTTTGAGGAAAATGCTTGAAGCGGCAAATCCCAGATGCAAAACTTCTCATATGAAAATGAGTTGGATTTGAATGAAAATGGACACATTGACATTCAAATGGTTTTTCACCGAGACTCGTTTTGACACAGAGGCGCAGGGGAACCAGAAAATGGCCAAATACTGTCAGGTGACAGACAGCTGCCGGCAAGCTGTGCACTTTCTTTCCAGCCTGCTCAAAATTAAATGGAAGATGAATTGTGTTCTTTTCCTTTCCATCGGACAAGAATAAAACACACGACTATGAAAAAAAAAAGATTTTAAATTCTTTACCCGGTCTTGTGATGACAGTTACATAAGTCGCGCATTTCGACGCCCTTACCTTCTGCCATCCGCAGTTTTAAGTTCATGATAGTGTAATGAACACATTGTAACACTGGAAACATGGGAATCTTAGCAAACTGCTCGGCATATAAGTTGAAAATCTCTCGAAATTGATCCATGGAAACGGTCGTCAGATTCCGGAGGGCCAGAGAGCAACGAAGGAATGAAGAATCGAAGAGAGAAGATGAGAGAAGTGAAAAGAGTCGAGTGAATATGAACAAATGATTGGGCCAATATGGTCAGCGGCTTCACTGGACCCAGTCCTTGTACGATAAATTTAAACAAAATGGCCGACTTTATGGAAGAAGATTCCATGGAAAGCAACTCCGAATTATCAGACGACGAGGTTTGATTGTGCAGTTTCTTACTTAATATACCCCATTCATTGTTTTGCGTAGTACTTATCTGTAGTTGATAATTTCTCTCGCAGCTTCAGAGAGACTTTGCCAGCGGAAAGCTTCAAGTCGGTTTGAACAGGATAAGGCCGCAAACCAAGACACGTGCGCCATACAACAACATTGTAAGTTTATTCTTGTGATCCATTCCTTCTTTTGGGGTTTAAACTTTGATTAAATTCATTTCCGTACAAAATACCAGTTCATTACTGTCCGAAAGGGACTAATACTAAAATATATCCAACGTTTGTTGCAATGCATTAGTTTTATAATCTAAACACTGGCTAAAGCATGAATTAATAGTCGAGTTTCATTCTTTTTAAGTGTTTACTTTTTTTTCACTCACAGCCTGGCATGAGGCAGAAATTGGAGCAGATTGCCCAAGAACTTGACTGGATTGAAAGAATGGACGTCACTATTGCAAGAGAGCAGGAAGACAAAAATGNTTTATGGAAGAAGATTCCATGGAAAGCAACTCCGAATTATCAGACGACGAGGTTTGATTGTGCAGTTTCTCACTTAATATACTCCTTCACTGTTGTGCGTAGTAATTATCTGTAGTTTTTAATTTCTCTCGCAGCTTCAGAGAGACTTCGCCAGCGGAAAGCTTCAAGTAGGTTTGAACAGGATAAAGCCGCAAACCAAGACACGTGCGCCGTACAACAACATTGTAAGTTTATTCTTGTGATCCATTCCTTCTTTTGGGGTCTAAACTTTGATTAAATTCATTTCCGTACAAAATACCAGTTCGTTACTGGCCGAAAGGGACTAGTACTAAAATACATCCAACGTTTGTTGCAATGCATTAGTTTTATAAGCTAAACACTGGCTAAAGCATGAATTTTTGGATGCAATCAAGTCCATCCAGGAATTTAGATCAAAATTTATAAGGGCTAGGGTTTGATCATCGATAATCCTGGTCAATTCTGTTCAACAGATCTGTTTTAAGTATGTCCGAACTCACAGATGTACATGCAGAGTCAAATTTGTGGAGACATGATTGTATATGTGCACAAGTTTCATTCTTTTTAAGGGTTTACTTTTTTTTCACTCACAGCCTGGCATGAGGCAGAAATTGGAGCAGATTGCCCAAGAACTTGACTGGATTGAAAGAATGGACGTCACTATTGCAAGAGAGCAGGAAGACAAAAATGAAAGTCTGAAGACAGCTGCAATGTCTACACTCAACAGTGAGAAAAGTATCCATGATGACTTCCAAAGAGAAATGAGATTGTAAGTTACATATCACCTAATTATTTTCCTTACATCTCTGTTACATTGATGCATAGTTGGTTTAGTACTTCATTTAAATTTGTGAGGATACATCCTTGTATGTAGTAGTGACTTAAAATGCCACCATTACCACTATGGAGAGGCCTCCATCTAATTCACAATAAAAACAAGATGAAATCTGACACTGGCCTTTTAAAATTCTGCTGGTAAATTTGTCTGTACATTATTGGAAAGCATGCGTACAGCATAAAGTATATATTTGCACTATACTTTTTTATTGTGGACCAATGGGCCAATTTTGATATATTAAAATTCTAACTTGGCTTTGAGGCTTAGGGGACTAAAACCAAAAGAAATTATAATTCATCCCTTGTACTCGATGTGATTTGTTTTGTTTTATTTCCCCAAGCCTCACAGCCAAGTTAGTATTCTAATAAATCAAAATTAGCCTACATGTATTTGCCAGATAGTATTATATTCCAAATTATGTACAGAATGAGTCATTTATTTGTATGGCTACACAATGTAGTTGTTCCATACACCATTATCATCCTGCAACTTTCATCCTTGTTTATTCAAGCCTTGACATGTATTGAACTTGTTAAATAAATTTCATTTTCAGTTACAAGCAAGCTCAAGCTGCAGTTAATGAAGCACTTCCTAAACTAAACAAACTTGGGATACCAACCAAACGACCAGATGACTACTTCGCAGAAATGGTGAAAACAGATGACCACATGCAAAGGGTAATAAATTATTAATTTTGTTAAATAGAGTAATGTGTACAAAGCATTATTGTCTTGCATTGTACAGTCCGGATAAAGTTTGTATTTTTTTGGTGACTACTCAGCCTTTTTATGCCTAATTATGTTTACTTAAAGTGCTACTACAGGTATATGATGAAATTTGCATCTTTCCTATCTAAGCCATTTTAAAACATAAACAAGTAGTCTGTATGAGAAGAAAATGCTGTTTACTATTTTCAAATATCTCTTTTCATTCCAGAGATATTCAAGTTTTTAAAATACGGAAATTAGCCAAAATAATGATGACATCATAAATTCAACCGCTCTATTCATAGACTTGATGTAATATTGCTTCGAGTGTATGACATCATCAGTCATCTCATTTACACTCTAGTATACATTTTTCAAACTTAATTATCTCAGGAACTAATGCAGGTATTCGCAAATGGTAAACAGCATTTTTATTCTTTCCTGGAATTCTATGCGATACGCCTAAAAAATCAAGGGGTAAAAATTTGATCTTAGTACCAAGTGCTTAAAACATTATTCACTGTTTTGCTTATTCTATGACTATATTTTGAGTCAAATAAATGGTTGGTTGGTTGTGTTATTATAGTTGTTGTTATCATACACAGTCTAATAATAATTTTTTTTACACCGGGATCCCTTTTAATATCAGGTAAGGGCAAAGTTGCTAAGAAAGCAGCAAGCTATGGAGAGATCAGAGAAGGCAAAGAAACAGCGAGAGATGAAGAAATATGGCAAAAAGGTACTTGAAGCAGTGCTCTGAAAACAGATAAATTTAACAGTTGCAATGGCCAATTTCCTCTGTGAGATGCGCCTGCTGGGAATCATGGTACAGAAGTTGCACTCATTGTCTTGGACTGAATATTTGTTTTGATGAATACAACTACTATAATTCCCTGCAGGCATGTCTGGTGTACTACATGTACATGTATAAGCAATCTTATGGAGTGAATGGATTGAGTTCCAGCGAATTCAAACATGTGGTTTCTTGCACAATACATGAAGCTCGTACTGTGTAGTATGTAAATGAGTGACATGCATTTGTAATAAGTTGTACAATGTATATTAAGTACAACTAAGTTGCTAAAAACGGATGAAAGTGTTCTCTTGCATGGCACTTAAGTTAAAGCAGTAAGGCCTCATATTTTACATCCCACTTTAAAGCAGTCAGTGTCTTGAGGAACATTTAGTTTAAGATCGAGAGCATCTAAGAATGCGGAACTTTCTTTTGTTTAACTACTTGTAGGTTCAGCAAGAGGTCTTACAAAAGAGGCAGAAGGAAAAGAGAGAGATGATGGAAGCTGTAAAAAGCTATAAGAAAAGTGAGACAGTTAAGCCTTACCTTCGTATTTGGGAAAAATGGGGTACTGACTCTTTGACACAATGACTGCCAGATAGATGGATGAACAGACCAACAAACAGACTGACGAACAGATGGACGTACAGACAGACAGATGGACAAATACATGTAGACTTACTGACTGAATCCTCTTCATGTCCCGTGGGACATTATGCAACACCAATCTCTCGCCATTTAATCAATAGTGCCTTGTACATGTACATCATTTTTACTCATTCCATGTGAGTTTTACCCACTTAATGACAATAAAGAACTGTATGTATTCTCTGTCCCTTATTTGATATGTCTTTATTTTTTGTGTACCTTTGTATACATGTGTTTCTTTAAATGTGATCAAATGTATTTTTTTTTTTTTTAAGGAGGTAAGAAAACTCCATTAAGTTCAGCAACATTAACTGGAGGTGGAGATGAATTTCAGGTACAGGCTGAGAAAGACTCCTCGACCAGCAACAAGGGAAAAGTCATTAAACGGTAATTTTTCTCAGTCTATCTTTCTTTGCCTGTAACAGTAGTGTATTCTTGTGAACAAAATCTATTAGAATTACTCCTTAATACGTTACAAAACCTTTAGCACTAGCAATATAGCCTAGCCTCGATCAGTCAAGAACAAATGCCATTTTTAGCAAGTCTTCTGTACAGCACTTGTTTCGTTTCTGATGTCTATTCTCTATTCAAAGAACATTATGTGTACTGGAGATTATTTTAAAAGATGCCGCACTTTCAAGGTGCAATCAGTTGCCTAGCAACTTTGAGGCCAAAAACAGGAATATGTCATCATCTGGCACTAGTCACACCAGCTGTTTATGATTGTTTAGATTTTTATTACATCATTTAAACTGTGGTCCACATTGCCCCAAATACGCACGCATGTTGTTGAATCATGGTCTGGGCAATTCTGTTTGGTTAAAAGTGTATTGGTCACTTTCAGCTGTAGCCTATTCCAGGCATCCAGTTAGTTGTGGTGCAGATGGATAACTGGTGAGAGAACAAATTAGTAAAGAGTGCAGCTCCTTTTTTTGCTTGGTGTTTTCCATGCTGCACCCCACCCAATTGACTGCCTAGATGAGGCTAATTCAGCTGCTGCAGCTTCTACAGCAACGATGTTATTAAAATTTTTGGAACTGCCAACTGGAACCTCAGTAGTGACAGTGACATTTTTTTTTCCTGTGAATTAATTCAGTGCTAACCATGCATCAGTAAATAAATACAGTTACTGGACTCCAGATAAATTACCTGGACAGTATTGTTAGTATGTGTAATCCTCCATGAATCTGGTCAGGAGCCCATCACTAGGAGTGTACAACTCCCATACTGTGCCTATGTCACGGCATTTTTACAGACTGGTCTATTGTTAGGCTTCTTTTCCCACTAAATAGGACAATTCCGGTCTAGATGAGTGTGCATCGGTTAGGAAAAAGATTTAATTTGTTTTTCTTTTTAATTCTCATAAATTCAAACTAAAAATAGATCACTCTGTGAAAACACGGTTACAGGATTATCGGGTAGTTGCACGCTCTTAGTTATGGGCTCCCGGTCTAGTATAAATGACATTCTTTTGCATGCTGTGTGAAGAAGGCGTAAGACTCAATATGCAAATATCAGATAACTTGATATGCAGCATTGTTTAATTAGTGATATGCCTGCCATGATATTACAGCAGTGCATATCACAGCAGATTCATATTATTTAAGGTTACTTTGTGGTCTGTTTGCTTCTTTTGTCTTCTAATTGTCAATTGATTGTTTGTGTTTATTCATTTTATTTTTGTTTGCAGTGGAAAAAGCGGAAAGAGAAAAAGGAAGGTAAGCGACAGCAAAGTGACAGATTAGGGACTACTGTACTACTGTAGTAACAAGTAATGCTACATCGCTCGACCCTGGGGAAGTCCCTGGATTTCAAGTATAACAAGACCCCTCCCCACAGACTGAGAACCTGAATCAAATGTCTGTGTATGCCCACTCCAACCAGGCAAAAACATCAATAGGTGCACACGGGAGAGAGAAAATAATTTAAAATGCATTATAGCTTTTGTTTTTGCAAAAAAGGTTACCATTTACCAAGAAACCTGGCCGTGTTAAAGGAGAAATTTAAGGAGCATAAGTATGGCTCTGCGTGAGCGCTATATGTTTTGGTTCAATTTTCATGAAGCCATCTTCTGCAAAACATTTAGAACGTTTGAGGTGTACTGACGGAATACACCAAGGTTATCGCAAAGTTCTTTACTTCAATGTCACGTCAAAAAGTCTCTCACTTCTTCCAATGGCTCTCAGAACCCTAAGCTACAAAACCGTTATGAACCAATCGAATGCGCAATGAATGCATGCAACCGGTACCAAGTGCAGGAAAAACCGAGAGTCAAGTGGCTGTTTCTTTTAGCTTTGGAGTATGCTGGTTTGAAATAATCTTTTTTGTGATCAGTTAGAGCACAAAGTTTTTTTTTGTCCTTCCGGTAACTGGGTTTATAGTGTTCATATATGAAGAATTCCTGCCCGATTATTGAGATCACATCGAAATTTTTTACAAAGGAACAGTAATAATACAACATCTCTGAAACTTAGGGTAAGGGCTTAACGTTCATGAACGTATCAGCATCCTTATCTCTTGCACAGGATGCAAAGTTTGGTTTTGGAGGAGTCAAGAAAGGAATAAAGCGGAATTCTTCGCAAAGCTTCTCAGACGTGAGCTCTTTCAGTTCAGCAAAGCACAGCAAAGCACCAAGAGCAAAGTCAGGGAATGTTGTAAGTAACACTATCCTGTTTTGCATTGGCTTGCTTTTGTTTATCTCGATGCCTTATGAGACAAGGTGGGGCGGGGCTTTCGATAGGTATCGCGGAGAATGCGGAACCCGAGACCATACCTCTGGCCTACGCTGGAGTCTCGTAGTGGAATGAAAGGATGAACCGGCTTGTTCACAAAAGCCTTGCCCTATTACAAACCAAAAAATATTAGGATTTTCCATTTCTCGGGTGCTATTAAAGATACTGTGCCAAATTTAGGCAAAAGAAAATTTCCACCAAATTGAGTAAAACATATAAATAGCCACTTAAAACAGTGAAGGAACATTTCAATAACACAAAAAAAAGTTGTTGCATTTACTACAAAAGAAGGTTCGTCCAGATGGACAAAATTGAAGAAGATTACTTGAAACGGATCGCGATATGTGTCTTTGAAAAACTGTTAGGCTGAACAGTTTTCAAAGTTGATGTCATTTGTTTGTCATCTTTAAGTAAAACGCCCGGGAGACATAAGCTTGTAATGAAGCTATGGTTTTGTCATTTAGATCCATAGAAGTAATTTCGTGGCTAAAATGTAGTTTCATTTTTAGCGAGTGTTTGGCAAAACTTAATATCACTCTCTTTAATATGTGACGCTGAACATGCTATGTTTAAGAAATAGTCTTTTGTCAGGCTGGTTGACCNCGTACAAAATACCAGTTCATTACTGTCCGAAAGGGACTAATACTAAAATATATCCAACGTTTGTTGCAATGCATTAGTTTTATAATCTAAACACTGGCTAAAGCATGAATTAATAGTCGAGTTTCATTCTTTTTAAGTGTTTACTTTTTTTTCACTCACAGCCTGGCATGAGGCAGAAATTGGAGCAGATTGCCCAAGAACTTGACTGGATTGAAAGAATGGACGTCACTATTGCAAGAGAGCAGGAAGACAAAAATGAAAGTCTGAAGACAGCTGCAATGTCTACACTCAACAGTGAGAAAAGTATCCATGATGACTTCCAAAGAGAAATGAGATTGTAAGTTACATATCACCTAATTATTTTCCTTACATCTCTGTTACATTGATGCATAGTTGGTTTAGTACTTCATTTAAATTTGTGAGGATACATCCTTGTATGTAGTAGTGACTTAAAATGCCACCATTACCACTATGGAGAGGCCTCCATCTAATTCACAATAAAAACAAGATGAAATCTGACACTGGCCTTTTAAAATTCTGCTGGTAAATTTGTCTGTACATTATTGGAAAGCATGCGTACAGCATAAAGTATATATTTGCACTATACTTTTTTATTGTGGACCAATGGGCCAATTTTGATATATTAAAATTCTAACTTGGCTTTGAGGCTTAGGGGACTAAAACCAAAAGAAATTATAATTCATCCCTTGTACTCGATGTGATTTGTTTTGTTTTATTTCCCCAAGCCTCACAGCCAAGTTAGTATTCTAATAAATCAAAATTAGCCTACATGTATTTGCCAGATAGTATTATATTCCAAATTATGTACAGAATGAGTCATTTATTTGTATGGCTACACAATGTAGTTGTTCCATACACCATTATCATCCTGCAACTTTCATCCTTGTTTATTCAAGCCTTGACATGTATTGAACTTGTTAAATAAATTTCATTTTCAGTTACAAGCAAGCTCAAGCTGCAGTTAATGAAGCACTTCCTAAACTAAACAAACTTGGGATACCAACCAAACGGCCAGATGACTACTTCGCAGAAATGGTGAAAACAGATGACCACATGCAAAGGGTAATAAATTATTACTTTTGTTAAATAGAGTAATGTGTACAAAGTATTATTGTCTTGCATTATACAATCCGGATAAAGTGTGTATTTTTTTGGTGACTACTCAGCCTTTTTTTGCCTAATTAAGTTTACTTAAAGTGCTACTATATGATGAAATTTGCATCTTTCTTATCGAAGCCATTTTAAAACATAAACAAGTAGTCTGTATGAGAAGAAAATGTTGTTTACTATTTTCAATTATCTCTTTTCATTCCAGAGATATTCAAGTTTTTAAAATATGGAAATTAGCTAAATGATGACATCATAAATTCAACTATAAAATGTTTAAGCAAGCAACCGGAACGATGATCCTGCTGCCAGGTATACGTTGGATCAATAGTGATCTAATCGGCTTTACATATAAAATGAAGAATACAAAAGCAAAAACCGACACAACGTAGAATGATTTTTTGAAAGTGTACTATATTTCGGCTGGCCAAACCAGCCTTCTTCAGGTACAATGGAAGATTTTACATTGGTGCATGTTTTTATGTAGCCGATATTTACGTAATACCGGA